TCGGTAACATCCGCTCTTTTTGCCCAAATGGCATGAATAGGTCCAAACAACACTTGCCCACGATGATGCTGGTGATGGTGGGTTGTACTGTTGGCTACTCGCTAACAGCACTTGCTTATAGAGTCTGTTAAGGCCATATGGGTGATCTTTGTTGTTTGTAAAGGTCGTATTGGTATTGGTGGATGATGGTTGTGGACATGGTGGTTATAATGGTGGTGACGTAGCGGTTAGGGGTGATGCGGTGGCGTCGCGGTTAGCACGCTCCGCTACGAACCCGGTGACCCGAGTTCGATTCCCGCTCACGGCCACCAACACCACTGACGATTATCTGAACCAGTGCTGGGTTTCCCTTAGGTTGACTCAGCCTCAAATGAGTACCTGGTGCAGGTGTGTAAACATCACCACTGGCGTGGTGTTGGCCACCCACCCCCTCGTGTGCCGTGCCGGCCTTCATATGTGCTCGCCAACAGCACTCGCTCCAAGTCAGTTACAGGCTATACAGTGAGGGAAAAAAGTATTTGATCCCCTGCTGATTTTGTACGTTTGCCCACTGACAAAGAAATGATCAGTCTATAATTCTAATGGTAGGTTTATTTGAACAGTGAGAGACAGAATAACAACAAAAAAATCCAGAAAAACGCATATCAAAATGTTATAAATTGATTTGCATTTTAATGAGGGAAATAAGTATTTGACCCCTCTGCAAAACATGACTTAGTACTTGGTGGCATAACGCTTGTTGGCAATCACAGAGGTCAGACGTTTCTTGTAGTTGGCCACCAGGTTTGCACACATCTCAGGAGGGATTTTGTCCCACTCCTCTTTGCAGATCTTCTCCAAATCATTAAGGTTTCGAGGCTGACGTTTGGCAACTCGAACCTTCAGCTCCCTCCACAGATTTTCAATGGGATTAAGGTCTGGGGACTGGCTAGGCCACTCCAGGACCTTAATGTGCTTCTTCTTGAGCCACTCCTTTGTTGCCTTGGCCGTGTGTTTTGGGTCATTGTCATGCTGGAATACCTATCCACGACCCATTTTTAATGCCCTGGCTGAGGGAAGGAGGTTCTCACCCAAGATTTGACGGTACATGGCCCCGTCCATCGCCCCTTTGATGCGGTGAAGTTGTCCTGTCCGCTTAGCCGAAAAACACCCCCAAAGCATAATGTTTCCACCTCCATGTTTGACGATGGGGATGGTGTTCTTGGGGTCATAGGCAGCATTCCTCTTCCTCCAAATACGGCGAGTTGAGTTGATGCCAAAGAGCTCCATTTTGGTCTCATCTGACCACAACACTTTCACCCAGCTGTCTTCTGAATCATTCAGATGTTCATTGGCAAACTTCAGACGGGCATGTATATGTGCTTTCTTGAGCAGGAGAACCTTGCGGGCGCTGCAGGATTTCAGTCCTTCATGCGTAGTGTGTTACCAATTGTTTTCTTGGTGACTATGGTCCCAGCAGCCTTGAGATCATTGACAAGATCCTCCCGTGTAGTTCTGGGCTGATTCCTCACCGTTCTCATGACCATTGTAACTCCACGAGGTGAGATCTTGCATGGAGCCCCAGGCTGAGGGAGATTGACAGTTCTTTTGTGTTTCTTCCATTTGCGAATAATCGCACCAACTGTTGTCACCTTCTCACCAAGCTTCTTGGCAATGGTCTTGTAGCCCATTCCAGCCTTGTGTAGGTCTACAATCTTGTCCCTAACATCCTTGGAGAGCTCTTTGGTCTTGGCCATGGTGGAGAGTTTGGAATCTGATTGATTGATTGCTTCTCTGGACAGGTGTCTTTTATACAGGTAACAAGCTGAGATTAGGAGCACTCCCTTTAAGAGTGTGCTCCTAATCTCAGCTCGTTACCTGTATAAAAGACACCTGGGAGCCAGAAATCTTTCTGATTGAGAGGGTGTCAAATACTTATTTCCCTCATTAAAATTCAAATAAATTTATAACATTTTTGACATGCGTTTTTCTGGATTTTGTTGTTATTCTCTCTGTTCAATTAAACCTACCATTAAAATTATAGACTGATCAATTCTTTGTCAGTGGGCAAACGTACAAAATCAGCAGGGGATAAAATACTTTTTTCCCTCACTGTATGGGGGATCTTTGTCTATTGGTGCTGGTTGTGACGTCACCGCCACTTAGTGGCAAATGTTGGTTGTTGGTACTAGTCGATGTGACAGCCATCTCCTGTTATCACGTACATTCAGTCTCTCACAAAGTTATCAAGACTTTTCATGTTCAATATTACTTTTATAGACAAAAATTATATAAATTCATCTCATGAAATTTATATTTTGACTTGAACTAAACACGATAAAACAACAGGATTATCACACTCTCAATTACCTCTAACTGTATACATAATAATCATGAGCGTTGTTGTGGAGAATATAAGTAACAATATAAATGAGCAAACAATACACCACCTTCATATATGGTATCTGCTGATGAACTGCATCTTGCATTCGCCAGCATCGGTTCAAGCAAGCCTGGGTCAGCTGATGAGACACTGAATGTCATAAACCAGACCAGACTTTGCTTGTATTAAACCATTGTCGGTAAAATTATGCACTCCCAGAAGGCCTCGTGGATGATGGGATGTGTCAATAATACTTGCAAAATGTATTCTGAAAGGACAGAAATGAAGGAGGTTATTGTCTGCTTATTTATGTTGTCACACAGTCCAGTACAGCACGCACTGGCCCTGAGCTCCAACTCGTCTTCACCTCTGCCCCCTTTGTTCTCCACGTGAATAAGGTCATACCTCCACCGCCATTAACTTCAGTGTATACGTGCTGTCTGCTAATTTTCCCACAGTAATTACACATCCCTTTAACACCTGCTTTCCCCCTTAATCTGTCAGACATCAGGGTTCCAGCCACACACAGCAGGCAGTTTAATTAACAATTGTTCTATGTTATCGGGTCAGGGGAGGAGTAGAGCACGTTTACTGATTTGTGTGCATTTGAGGTGTTTATAGTAAAACATGGGTGTGGATTGTGGGTTGATGTGTATTTGATATGCTAAGGCAGTGGTTCTCATTTGTTTGAACCGACTGCCCCCTTGCCTGACCCAACATGGTTCTGAGAAATAAATATATGAATCATGAACATCAATATTTAACCAGTTGTCCGTTTTGTGAGGTCTCATAACTAGCTAGTAGCTAGCAAGCGAATAAAAAACCAACAAACACTCTGCATTCATAACGTAATTTGTTCGCTGCTCGCTGTTTACTCTTGGAAACCACATTTTTTACTATCAATGAGTTTAGAAAGGTCTTTTATATCGTTCGAGGTTACCATATGGATTAACATTTTTTCTTTATATTGGCAGATACATACATGATTATTCACCAATTACTCTCTTGTATGATATCATTTCACACATTTATATATCATCTCACGTATCCCCTTAGGACATTGCCACATACCCCCAGGGGCAACGTGCCCCTCGGTTGAGAACCACTGTGCTAAGGGGTAGTAAGATGTTGGTGATTATTGTGCAGTGGTTTTGAGTGTGCAGGCACCTCGGGAGGCACTGTGGTGTTTGAGTGTGGTGGACACGGAGTTGAGAGTACTGGGTTCTTACCCTGTTCGAGGACAGGGGGAGAACCCAGGTTTGAGGTGGTGTCTCATCACATATATATCACTATATGTAGTTCTGGTGATATGTTTGGTGGCATTGGTGCTTTTCTACCCAATTATATTCCATTTGGGCTATCGGCTTCAGGTTGTGATTTGTTTTATCCATTTATAACCTCTGTAATATCACAAAATGTCAGATAAGGACCCCTGAACATAATATAGATTCAGTACTCCTGAAGTCCATTCAATAGCCTCTTGCTCAGACTAGGGATGCAACACCCATTATATGCCCTACAATTAAAGCCTGCATGTAAATGAAAACAAAATCCAAAGTCCTCAGAGCTGGGTTTGGTTTGTGCAGTCACCAGTGACCTGGCTGATGCCATCAACTTGCTGCACTTAAGAATCCATTTTAATTATGGGTGGCTGAAACCAGTTTCAAACCCATTGTGTCTGATCCAGTGTCTGACATGGCCATTATATACTCTCTGAGCCACTTCTGCTCTAGATTTGGGCATGGTTTCACACATTCTACAGAATTGTTAAACTCCTAAAACCTACTGGGCTGTGAGATGGTCAGGAAATATAGTCTCGCAAGTGTGTTTATGAACTTGTCTGTGCAGACATTTAGCCACTATCCTATAATGTGCCTAGTGTACTCCGGTTCCCTACCACACAAAGCAAAACACTCCTTAAGAGTATGTATGCATGTTGAACTTCTTTCGCAACGTACGTAGCCAACCGTGCGAATCGGAGGTAAAATTATCCAATGGCGGAGCCAGGATTTTCAGGTAGTGGGGGCAACCCCTCCAGCAATGAAAAATGATAGAGGAGTTGTTAGTAAGGACTTGTCCCTTGCTTTTAATTCTACGTGTGTGCGGCGATGGCGCAGCCATCGATCGAGGGTCGAATTCGAACCGCATGTGATCGGCATCGCGCTCGCTGTGGGTGAATGCCTTCAGGGAAGTCGTGTACTGTATACGCAACTGTGCACAATTCTGAGTCACTTATAACTGTTTTGCCGTTACTTATTGCCAATTATGGACTCAGACTATTGTCCTATCATCTCATAGAGTCCCTGGCACAATAATATGCTACACAGTAGCAGTGGGGGTCGCAAAATGCCGATTTATTACTAATAAATCCCAATGATCCGATCGAAATTAGGGATTTTGATCGGATCATTGGGGGGGCACGTGCCACCCCACCCCCCCCCACAGGCTCCGCCAGTGAAATTATACAAACATTTCAGTGCACAACCCTTCTGTAAAACAGTCTTGAGAATCAGCGAGGCCTGTACGGATACATTACTATATTATTATGCATTGTTGACTCCCAACTCTGCTGCTTCTGCTACTACTGCTGATTCTGTTGCTTCTGCTGATGCAACTGCTGTTGCTGCTTTATCCACAGAGGACCAACTACCGATGGGCTTTCCTGTAATTGACAATGGCCCTGTGCTGCGTGTGGTGGAGCGTACCCGCCTGGCCACCATGCTGTGTGTTGTGAGTGGAACACCAGACCCGGAGATCACGTGGTACAAGGATTTGCTGCCCGTCGACACCGGCTATAACCAAGGCCGCATCAAGCAGCTTCGCTCTGGTGAGGCTTATCCTGGGTTCACGCCTATGCCTAGGTGGTACTCTCTTTGCCTGTGAGTGTCTTTTGAAGTGGTGCCATAATAATTCGCGCATTGGGCTGTGCACCTTTCGACCTGAGTTTGATTCCCAGCCACAATTCACATCAGTGGCAAATATATGATCTTGTCCTGGGTGTAATCTAGTGCAAGTTCAATTGCAAGTTTCTTTTGTTAAATCAGGTGAGAACTCAAGAGACCATGAACATCTCATTTGAAAAAGTGACCTTGAGCATTAGTCTGCCAGGAGGCTGCAATGATTGATATGTACACTGTGAAGCTAGGTCAACTTGGCCTTAAACAAGTACCTAGTCCAGTGAATAAACATCAGCACTGGGCTGACAAAGGCGGCTTGGTGTGGTGCTGCCTACAGCACCCCTTGTGCGCCGTGCCGGTCCTAATAGATGTTTGCGAACAATACTTTCCCCAGCAGTCTGTGGCCATATGGGAATCTTTGTCTTTGTAAATAAGTTGTATGTGATGAGTTTGCCCAATAGCAGGCAGCTGTAAACGGGAAGCTACCATGAGCATGCATAAATCAGACACTGAGCCAGCATCTGAGGACATGGGTTGGATACCTGTGAATGTCGTACTCGAATTGTAAATATGGGTCTACTCTCCAACAAACTGGTGTGCTAAAGTAGTAACTAATTTGGCACGTTTTGTGTACGTGATAAACCTTACTAATTGGATGTGTCGAGTGGTGGTGGGTTTAATGACACATTTATATTTACCTGATCTAACCCAAAAAAATATGTATCAGGGATACCTGAGTATAGTGGCGCGCTCTCTCACAAAGTTCACAATGACGATGTTGGATACACTGAGGAAACAACACCTCTGATGTCACATGTATAAGCCGTGGGGTATGGTATCTGGAATTCATAATGACCATGCCAGCTTCATAATAGCCATGTCAGAGCCACTGCCTGAGTTGAGTTTGAGCCCTGGGGTTGGGTGTCACTCTCGTAGATTCATAAACGGCTTATCAGCTACCAATGCTGTGTGACCCATTTTGCTTGGCACCTCTCTATTACAAACATACTGAGCCAGCAACCTCAGGTCCTCAGTTCAAGTGCTGGGTCTGGGTGTCTAATTCTCTCTGAGGGTTCATATTGCCTGTGACGAAGTTCCTGTGTGCGTTTTACCACATGTTAAGTGTAACCTAATGTGTGTCCTGTTTGGTTCTTGCCTATTTCTCCTCCACACTCTTTGGCCGGGCCCTCAGAGTCTTTTGGTGAGTTAATTTTACACACATACACACAAACATACACACTTGCACAAATTCACACGTACATATATAGACACCCACAGGCACAGACACACCTCAAACACACATGCAAACACATATATGCACGTACACACATGCACACGAGACCACTTCAAATCTTGGTGGACCCTTCCCAAGTGAGCCAGGCAACAGCCCTGATTGCACCCCTCACCTCCCATATATGACCTCTAACCCTGTCCCTGTTGCCCTTCCACACAGGGCCTACTCTTATCGATCCTTCAACTACACACACATTGACATGAGCCCTGTTCAAACTGTAACACCTTACACGTGGGCCTTACCCTTATCCATAAACCCACCACTAACCCTACCCCCTACACATAGAACCTACCCCTTGCTTTACCACTCTGCACATGGACCATACACCCACCCATAAGCCTACCTCCCATATCCAACGGCCTTACCCGTAACCCTCTACTATTGTGCCCTACTCTTACCTCCACACATAATTTCCACTGCTGCCCATACCATCATCCTTACAGAACCTACTCCTACCCAGAACCCTACCACCCCCCTCACCTTTCATATTCTATCCCCCTCCACTTGAGTGCTCCCCCTACTACACTTAACCCTACCCATAACTCTACCAGCACCCCTGCCCCCATCCACATATGGGTCCCTACCTCAACCCATAATACTATGCCTACCCCTACCACTATTTCTATCCCACATAAGTTGCCTACTTTTATGGGAAAAGTGTACAGGGGAATTGGTACGTGACTCATTGTGAACCAATCACAGTATAGGTATTCCTCGACAGCAGTGTTTAGAGAAATAAACTATATAAATATTTACCCATTGTAATGTTTTAGTTCTTGTCTATTTTCTCACCCTTATTTTTATGACGCCATGTATCGCGTAAGGGTGCTTTACTGTGGCTCTTTGAGGTTTAGGCACTTGCACTTAATCCTGAGAGAACTAAATATCAGATTTGACTGGAATTGATAAATAATTAAAGTAATGATGGAAATGTCCAAGCCACATGCACAGCGTATCACCTGCTCATTGGAGTGTGTGGTGGTGCTCAAAGTCTACATTTCTATAGCAGGGACCAGTCTGTCCATCGCGTGAGCAGTGTTGACTTCCCACAGAGTGAGACGACTAGTCATGCCATTTACCTTAGTGGGTTGATGGTGCTGATGACGATTATGGGCTGAATCTAAAATGGAAATTGAGTATGAAAAACAATTTTACTTTCAAAGCTACCAACGTGTACCAGAGTTAATTAATTGTATTATAATTTATCTTAAATTATTGTTTTATTTTATTATTTTATTCACATTCTACGTGACTTTACCGAAAGAACCAAAGAAGATTATCTTAAACAATTTATGATGAAAACTATTTAATGCAAATATATGTTTTTTTAATTACATAAAATAAAAGTTTTAATCACCTATTCCTGTGCCGGGGCTTGGGTTGTGGTGTAGCCCCGACACATGAAAAATGCAAGTAACGACGACTGGATGAGTGGTTGAGACTGATCACTTCAAAGGGCACACATTCAGCATTAAATAGTGATGAGGGGAGGTTCTTGTTTGAAGTGCAGCTTTAGCAGTCTGTACAATCACAAGGGATTTAAACTCTGTGTATACGTATGTATGCGTGTATTTTTTAAATACGAGTATGCTGTTGCACGTTTATAATGTAATAATGTAGTGTATTTGTCCAGGAAAATATCAGTCTCTTTTTTATTTTTCGTGTGTGTGACTACATTTCTTTCAATGAGTGTTTTGCGTGTGAAAGGAAACGTAATCCCCAGAGAAAATGCAGACGCATACCAGGGGATAACACTCAAAGGTCTGCATAGATGGGTTCACGAACCTACTTGCTTTACTACTACTATCTACTGCCCAACTTGTAGTTCAGCACATATCGGAACTTCAGAAATCTACACGATGCACCAACCCTTGCCTCCAAAGTGCTATGATAGAATATCCATAAATACATTGCATTAGCAGGATCGGGTGTGATTAATTACTTAGACCACTTTACGGGAGTAGAGAGGTCAACTTTGTTAATAAGAGATGGGTGTTTGAGCCTGGAGTAATGGCTTTGTTACTGTACACGTCAAAGAACGTGATTTAAATCAACAATAAAATAAGCGTATAGAATTTGATTGCAGATGTATGTGGAGGTTAAGGCAAAAAACGTAGAACTTCAGCGCAGAACGTGGCATGAGAGCATTTGTATTCATGATTACGAAGAGGAGGTTGTGATAAACGAAACAGGACATGTTACTGAAACAAGCATTGCAATGTCATCCAGATGTCAGCAACAAAGGAGAAGACCTATAGCCAGATGGCAGTGGTGATGAGTTTGTAAGAGTGGGCCTCGGAGGCCAGGTGTTAAGTGTGCAACAATTGTGAGGTCTGGCAGTGATAATAAGATGTGGTGCCATTACTGGCCTTGGCAATAACGACATCTTGAACTTGATGAATGTAGTTGTAGAGTGGAACTGTCATACATTTCAAATTCCAGTTGGTGGGGGTCCTTTAACCCACTGTACTCCATTGGTCAATGAAATTAGTTCCAGTTTGTTGGAAATAAACATTGGTCATCCTTTTGAGAGATTGACCACTGGTATGGGAATGTGGAATTTTCACCAAAAGTTTAGGACTGCCAAAGGACATGAGCACCACTCACATTTGAGCAGGGAGACACTGTAATTTTTCGATTTAAAGCTTTCGTGACTGCAATGATTCATCTTCTTTGGTTAAATGAGAATAAAATAATAAATAGATAAAATAAAATAACACAATAATATTCTCACGACGTTTCGGCCACAACACAAGCGGCCTTCATCAGGTGAAGGGACGAGACTGTCTGGTAGCGCTGTCCTACAAATCAATTTATAACATTTTTGACATACGTTTTTCTGGATTTTCTTCTTGTTATTCTGTCTCTCACTGTTCAAATAAACCTACCATTAAAATTATAGACTGATAATTTCTTTGTCAGTGGGCAAACATACAAAATCAGCAGGGGATCAAATACTTTTTTCCCTCACTGTATAAATTATCATAAATATATATACGTATATACAGTACCATGCTTGTGTATTGAGTCCAACTGAGTCACAGACTTTGTTCTTTAGAGGCAACACTTTTATTGTAACATCAACCCGCTAACGCAAAGGGGTAACTGCCTCTTCACCAGATACAGCCTAAGGTGGTGACCACCCAGCTAACTACTCTATACATAGGAGTTACAGCTACAAAGGGTCAGACCCTCACTCGGGTCCCTCGTAGGACGTAGAGCTTCCAGCTTGTAGACGTTGAGCTTCAGCTTGTAGAATGCAGCGACCCCGGTCCCTCTCAGGGACCCACCTTATATCCCGCCCGGGTCGGGGCCGCTCCGCCTTTGGCCCCGCCCGCCTTCTTGACCGTTCTCGATCCCTCTTGAGAGCTCTCCCCGGACACGTGATCACCCCTTAGCCCCCCACCTGGGGCCCTCTCTGTGGACACTCCGGATCACGTGTCTATGGGATCAACCAGAGTGCCATGGCCCGGGGCAACCCTGCTCCTGGGCTGACACTCTCCCACTCCCCCACTCCCCCTTGTGGGAGCCCGCACTACACGCTATGCGTGGTGCCCGCGCTGTCCCAGCGGTCAACAAGCCCCGCTAGGGCTGGTACTACACCCGACCTCACACAGCAACCCACCCGGTGCTGCCCGCGATGTAGGGACATCGCACGCCACGGCCCTCTTGGGCCGGCACCATACAGTAACATCCCCGATGTCACTACGCATGTATGTGTAATGTAGCTCTCGGAGACACTGTCTTGTTCAGTTATATGTATATTTAATGTGAATAAAGTCCGTCGACTCACTGATAATTTAACGAGTAACCGCGAGTTAACTATATACAGCTGGATCATTTCTGTGACTCTACGCGGCGCTCCCTATGTAGTTGGCTGGCTACACAGGAGCGGACGCGAAGTAGTCACAGAAACAATATTAACTCTGGCCTCCAAGACTACAAGGTGCCCGATCCAAGATGATGAAGACGACCTGCTCCAAGACTACGACGGCGATGACAGTTTATTGATTCCCCCACAGCAGCCCAGAGTCCTGTTCCACACCGGCTTTTATCCACTCCTCGACCCGGCCATGCCCCTTTTACCGAACACTCTCTCACCTCATCTGGGCCTGTCTGTCCCTGTCTCAATTATTATTTACGACCACTTAGGTCCCGTGCTATCCTTACGCGACCCTGTCAGTGCCCGTCCTGTCAATTAATAACCACGGCCACGAGGAGCCGTACTGTCTTTACACATGTATAAAGAGTGAGTTCATAAATGTATGCGTATATGTGTACGTGCATGTGTGTGGACAGCTTCTATTCAATAATATAAAAACCCCTTCTGCTGATGTGAATGTTAGTAGAAAACCCATGAATAAAACAGCCACGATGTCATGGCCGTCTTCTCACACCCTGTCACAACACAACACCACACACGCACACACCTGCGATATGGCTGTGTAGCTGGGTGGTTCATAATGGCCATGGCAGAAACTTTGAGCAAATACCACTCAGATTCTGGAACTGATCATCGAGACGGTGCTTCTCTCTGGGAGTTCACATTGGCAGTCAGGTTCAATAAGTTAGCTTCACAATTGCTCTAGGAGACAATGAGGCAACAACTCTGGTGTCCTGGCTTGAAGTCTTACGACTGGGTGACTCTTGTAGGAGGTTCACAATGGCCTGGAGACGTTGAGATTGCTTCTGTACCTTGGAATGAACACCTTGTTTTAGCCACACATGATTAAACTGAGCTGTTTGTTCTTTATTTTCCCAGTTGTATTGAAGTCATGCTATCGATACAAAACATTTACATTTAAACATTTGCAGCTAGCAATACATGTCCCTGTGTTGGAGAACAGCCCTGGTAGATAAACCATTGAATTACATCTGGGGACACTTCAGTAGACCTAATTGTCCAC